CTCCTCCTCCTCAAGCCTAGAGCCTAGTGGGATTTGTTTATCCCCTTAATAATGAAGTAGTGTTTGGAAAAGTTTTCTCAAGTATTATATCCCTAGCATATAAGTTTTCAGTAAGTCCAACCTAATTTGCAAGCCAAATCATTTTCTCAGATGTAATGGTAGAATTCATGATGTCTCACATGATGAAGAAACTCCCCCTGGAACTGTTCCTCCTGAATGTGCGAATTGTTCACCGTCTCCTCTGCTACCAAAAGCGTAACTCAGTCCGACTGCCTTACAATTGGAAGGACTTGTGGGCTGCCCTGATTGCTCTTGCCAAATTCCTGGTCACCAACGAGGCATATCTGGCCAAGAAAATGAACATCTTCCAGTTAGCACATCAGGTAAAAGGCTAGAAATAAGTCATGATTATGTATATTTTTTTTCCTTTTTTCTTTGCAATAACTCGTAATTATATTTTGTTTTACTTTGTTACTTTTTTTGTTTTATCTGTATTGTGACTATTTTTAAGTTTGGGTTTTCAAGATATTTTACAGTATGTTTTAACCCAAAATTATTATTTGTGTCCATAATAGTGGTGAAACCATTAATTAGTTCACACATGTTACTCGGCTGGTTAATATGAAGGTATCTCCACACAGGTCATGAATATTTTCAATTTGTTCATCACATATGGTGACACTTTCCTCTCAACACCATCAAGCTATGATGAGCTCTACTATGAAATCATGAGGATGCACCAGGTCAGACCCCTTTACAGCCTTGTGCAATGTAGAGATAAGAGGAAATTTCCTGCATGACAGTTGGATATATAATGAACTATTGATTCTTTTGCAACTGATAAAGATCTTCCCTTATGGAAGTGTAATTAACTTTTCCTTTTTTGCTTTTGTTTTTAACCTGCAGGTATTTGAGAACATGTACTCCATGAGCTTACGATATTCAAGAACAGATGGAGATTACAAAGAAAGTGCACAAAAGCTCACAAACTCACTAGGCAATGTCAGGTGAGTTCATACTATGGAGAGGGTGTAGCCAGGTTGTGTGAACAGTTATAACAGTGTAACAGCTGTTATTATTTCTTTTCAGCCTGGGATATGAATTAATGAGGTTCTTTTTTCATCTGAATAAATGTTTCCCCTGGTTTCTTTGCTTTCTTAAACATGGTATTGCTAGCTTAGAAGAAGTGTTTTTCTTCAGAACAATAAATTGAAACTACTCTTTTTGTTACAGATCAATAATAAACCATTTCACCCCCAAGTTAGACAAATGGAGTCAGGAACATGGAGTATCAACACTTACAGAAGAACAGGTTGGTAAAACTTACCTGTAATATAGAGATGGAGAAAAATATTTATATACCAGAAATTATGACATTTACTCTAATAAATTAACAATCTCTCTATGTCAAATATGGTCATAACATTTCACAGTATATATTAAATACCAGCATATTACATTAAAATTTTCATTGTATAGGAAATGTTCAGTGAAAAAAAGTTAGTCCAGTAATAAGACCGGGTGATCATGCTTATTACATGTTCAGCAGGATATATTACACTATTGTACAGCTCTATTTATGTTTGGAAGCATTATTTATTAAAGCTCTGTACCCTTTGTATTATCTCTATGAAAAACATAGGTTCTAGAAGTGGTCCGGAATAACTATGACAGCCTTACCCTCAAACTTCACGACAGTTTAGATCAGTATGAAAAATATGCTGAGAAGCCTCAGCATGCCAATTTCTTCACAAGCATGGTAAGGGCTGTTAATGCTGCTTTGAGATACATATGAAGATATAGAAAAGAAGTATTTAACCCACTGGTGACAGTTAGTTATATTGTCCACTGTAATTTCTGTTGTGAATTTCATTTACACAAATGGCCCCACAAGCGATGCAGCATTATTATTATTATTATTATTGACATTTGGATTATTATAATCTTTTAACAGTACTAATAGCAATAAGAAATAAGATCAAGAAATAAATAAAATCAATGAAAAGGGAAAATAATTGAGGTCAGGTAGGACTAGCAATTGCCTCCTTGGTGACTAAGCTCTTGTGGAACCAACTGTGTGTAAGCAAAATTAGTAAACTAGAGTGGACATGGCATACATGTAACTGCCATCCTGGCATCAGTGGGTTCATTCTTTTCTTGGTACCCCAGCATTTTATTTGTCTGTCTGTATTTTTTTTTTTTTTTTTTTTTTTTTTTTTTTTTTTTTTTTTTTTTTTGAATTATCAATGATCTTTTACTTAAGCATTTAATGATGAATTATACTGTTCATGACAAAGTTTTTTACAGGTGTCTTACATCCTCTGGAATAACTTGGTATGTGTTATTTTCAGGTAAGAAGCATACTCAGCGATACGAGACAAAGCATTGATTTTAGCGCCTTTGAAAACTTAACAATATTACAAGAACTGAGCCAGTCAACATAGATATTCTTTAACTAGATTTTGCAGTTATAGTGAGGTGGCAATTAAATATGGTAAGGCAATTTTTCTGAAAAAGAGTAGTTTTCTGTATGAAACAATGAATGAATACAGGGGACTTGTAATAGGTGAGTCCAGAATTTGAAGAAAATAAAACATTTCCCATTGAAGAGAATTATAGTAGTGAACAATATGTAATCATGAATATTACACCTTTGTACAAGTGGCTTACACTCATTTTTTGAATTTGACAAAATTTTTAAATACTTTTGTGTTTCAGTAGAAAACCAAGTTTAGATATAAAGTTCTACTTTTTTCCTTTGAAGTCTACTTTATTTTATTTTTTCTCTCTCATACACTAGAGTAGTCTTCCTTCTTTGTAATTAAAGCTGGGAGTGCCAGTTACATACAGGGGAGTCTTCCATTGATCCTCTGTATTTCTAGAAAAAAAAATATAAGGGCAAAAGTAGCCCTTCTCTGTCATATGCAAATTGTATATAATGTTATGTTTATAACTGTCTTAGTCATATTCATCTCTTTTTTTTTTTTCCCCTCACTCCCTCCCCCAAAATCTCATAGTGAGTATATTAGTCTTTATTCCTAAAAGCATTTTAGCTCACTGCAGTATTATAACAAGGGTAGTAAAGTATGCTATTGACCCCCTCTAACTTCCAGCCAAAGAAGTGTGAAATGCTGAAGAGGAATGTTGTGTAGAGGTCATGATAATGTTTTGCCCTTTCTAATGTGCACTGATTCGCATTACTGAATTTATATGTTTTTCAAAAGGAAATGCAGAATTTAATGGAATCTGTCAGTCCGTGGTGATCTGCTGAGACAGTGTCACACTAGCTCACTTTTTGCTTGATATCTATTTATTACTGTGATGACATTGTAAAGTCATCTCTCTCCCTCTCTTATTTATAGCTTTATCTCTCTCTCTCTCTCTCTCCCTGTCTCTCTCTCTCTCTCCCTGTCCCTCTCCCTCTCCCTGTTCCTCTCTCTCTCAAATTAATCATAAGAATATCATGATCATGTTATAGCTAGTTCATCTTCCTGAACAGCCATGGCATGTTTGTAGAGGGACAAGCACTCTAATAATATACCTGCTTTAAAGTATGTGTATTATCATTCTTCCAAGAGGATCTTTTACTTGTGTATGTAAAAAAAATATATAAATATAATAATAATAATGGTTGCAGTAATGATAAGCATCTTGAAATGGACCAATTAATCAGTTAGGCTTCAGAAAATAGGTGACTTTTTTCAACTGTGTTTTGTTCATGTTCTGAGTTCTTAGTGTGTTCACATGATACAAGAAAACAAATAATTTAAGATATATCTATACTAAAAATGTTGCTAGTGTGATGCTGGCTTTATAATTTTCATGATCCCGGCTAGTTGCACTGGGCATTAATCATGACCTATTGTTGTTCAAGGGTAATTGGGATGCTGATTTTGAGTTATTACTTAAGGTGGATTTCTGTTTGTGATTATTATTATTATTATTGTTTTGAAATAAGGTGACATGGAGAATCTGGTTACTTTTTCTTATTCATCTTGTTTGTATGAAAGTCAAAGCATTTTTGGTGTGTGTTCAAACTGATGCACCTTTCTTGTATGTTTAATTATGTTATTAGATTTTATTTTGCTCTGAGCATAAGCACTTTAGAGGCAATAAACTGTATAGTGAAGAGCAGTTATACTTCAGGCAAGTTTACCCATACACTAGAGAATTAAAGAAACAAACAAAACATAGCAAGAAAAGCATCAGTTAAGGGATGACTATTTTTAGTGTAGTGTGAGACAGCAGATCTCTCTATAATGTATTGTATATTGTCTCAGATTTTCAGCTTATGTTTCCTTGGTTTATTAGCGGGTGAAATGGACTTCAAAAAGTTTCTGAATTTGACTATTCTCTTTCCTGAACTTTTTTTTTTTCCCCTTCTCTATCTCACTTTGACACTTTGATGTCCTGCATGTATATAAAGCTTTTTTTCTCTGAGCTGTATCAAGGTAATTGAATGTAAATGTCTGTGTTGTGTTTTTATCAGCATTTTGTATGCTGATTGATACCCTAAATGGGAGAGAATCTATATATTTTTATTTCATGGTTACATTATCCCTGGAAGATTTAATTGTAACACTTTACCAATGGTAGAGTCTTAATATTTGTCTTTGAAGTTGTCAGTATGTGTATATATATATATTTGTAAATGGAAATAAACTGATCTTACTTTACTTAATGATTTGTACCATAAGGGACACTTTGACTTTCATGCTAATTAATTAAAGGAAATATATATTTATTACCATTACAAACAAAACATCTACCAAAGCAAGAGCAAGGCTTAAGAACTTGGTATGGGAAAACAGAGAAAAAGCTTGTAGAGAGCTGTAGACATCCCTAATGCTTTAGGTTTTAACAGCTTGCTATGACAGATTTTCAAATGTAATGTATAAATTTATATATAAAATATTTATACATAGCAGAGTGTAGTAGGTATTATTTTAATAATATGTGACCTTGATACTGTAAATTTTGAAAATAAATTTCTATGGTGACTACTCAGTATGAATTACCACACCATTCTTTCACTCTTACATGAATAACATTTGCTTTCAAACAGTTCCAGTCATGATGGCATTATACAAACCAATTATTGAGATTACATAAATGTTAATTGTCATTTTCTCCTCTCATACTGTAAATGTATATTAATAACAAAGAAAAACAATATTTCCAATAAAATCTTTTACTATACATAACACTAGATATATTGGTGTTCCAAGGATACACAGTTATCTCTTGTCTAGTAACGCATAGGCATGTTTAAGCCTCTCTATAGTCGTCTCCTTCCCCAAGATAAATAGCATCTCCCCAACGGGTGGTCCTTCCTGGAATACAAATGTAATTAGAGTTAGTGAATCTTGTATTATGATTATTGTTTAGATATTGAAGTATTTTCAAGGTTGTTCTGTTTTACCTTTTTTTTTTTCTTGACCTATTCATACTTAGAAGGGGGCTCTGGCAATTTGGTTTTAATTGTCATCAGACTATCTAATTGCTATGCATATGCATTCTGAAGTGAAATAATACCTATTCATTTTCATTAAATTTATATATCTCTCTGTAACCAATATGTCATCAATTTTATGCAGAAATACCACAGTACAATGAAAAGTTGACCATCCTTCTGCTCTGAAGTGAATCATCTCTTCAATATATTTCCCGGCCACACTTCCTATCCTGGGCAATTATTTTCTAAGAATATTTCTACAGCCAATATGTAATGTAAACCAGTCCCTCACCTTTTGACCACTGATAGCCATCCGCAGTAGCTTCATCAAAACAGGAGTTTTCAGTGAGAACCACTTTGCCACCAATTTTACATACTTTGGAATCTGCTCTTTTGTAAATTTTTCAGGAGGCATGACAACAATGGTCTCCAAAAAATACTGCAAGACATCAGCTGAAAGACAAAAAAAAATATTTTAATGGTATATCCATAAAAAGGATATGAATCAAGCTGTTTCCTTTAGGATAAAGTAACTGTACAATGCAATATTAACAGCCTCTTCCCAATGATTAATTCACACCAATATTCATGGCAAAATGTAATATTCCTGGGTGAATTACCATTAAATGACAGTCCAGTGGACTTTCTAATTCATTCAAATACTTTAACAATTTTCTTAAGGTGACAGGCAAAACAAAGAAATGCAACAGTTCTAAGCAGAGGTTTTCCACTTCAAGAATGATTAAATCAGTCTTAATAAGAAAATCTACCCTCTATAAACTTAACTATACCTCTTCATTAACTGCAAATGTAAAAGCCAATCTAAAATTACTAATAAAGAGGCTGGATCCCTGTTTAAAAGCCAAAGTAGACAAATGAAGAAATATAAATATAAATATATAATAATAATAATAATAATAATATAACTGCAAAATCACTACACCAACCATGACTGCATGACATCTCTGGCAGCTGGTCAAGTGGAAGCTCCTCAGGAATGACCCAAATATACGTGAACTCTGGGGCAATAAGGTCATCAAGTCTTGTGATTCTCTGCTGACCCCAAGCCAAAACATTTGTTAAATATTCTGTGGTCAGGACACTCTCTTGGGTAGCACAACACCTATGACTGGAAAAAAGAAAAAAATACTGAAAACAGATGGGGGGAAAAAAATGTAAATACTATGAGCCATATGTTAACCTAATGCTGTCAGGGTTGGTTTATACCTACTTGCCATGCCCACTGTGAGGTTAGTTTATTAATTGTCTTTACATTTAGATGGCTCCACAAGTACTAAGTCACCAATGAGCCAGTTATGAGTACTCCCATCTCACCTGTTTACCCTTTTCCTTGATTTTTTTTAAACAGTTTCTGTTATCTTATATTGTTGTATTGTCAGTATTATAATAATTATGATGTTTATAATACTAATAACTGCTTCAATATTGATAGCATTATTTAAAAAATTAAATAAATAAAAAATCCCAGAAACTCAAAGAAAGGTGAAATCAGGGAAGGTCACAAGGTTTGCTAATTGACTCCTTTGTGGCCAAGATATTTCCCAAAACAATACTACAGTGAACAGAACATTTTTCCAGCAACATGGTGTTAAGGACAAGTGTTTATCTTGAATGTTAGAGGGGAAAATATAATAATGTCATAGTGAGAGTATGTGAATATAATAAAATTATAAGAAATTGAGGATTAAGCCATTGGATCTGCATGCCTCACTGCCGGATGGTAATGGACTGTTTTCCTTTCACAGACTCCTAGGTAGTCCATAACTCAGTGCAAGAATAATAACAATAAATAACATTTTATTATTTGTCTTTTTTTAATGATATTCAATTTTCTGTAATACAACCTGCACCACTAGTCATGGTAGGCAAGAATAGGATTCTGAGAATGGAAACGCTCGATGAAGCTCAAGAATCGATTGGTGAATGCCCAAGAGCAAGACAGAATTTCATATCACAGGAGACATTGGAAGTCACAGATGCTTGTTGCGTGGCTAGACTGTCAGGGGATTGTAACTTGTATTTTTCTCTGGTGCGTAGGACTAGGTCACTGCTGAGAAGGGACAAGGAACAGTTTATCAGGAATCTTGCAGAGGAGGTTCAAAGCCATTTCCTAGTAAATAACCTTTGTCCAGCCTAGCAAGCCTTGAAAAAGCTTAAATCTAAGCCCTCATTGCAGACGACTACAGTCCACTCAGCAAGTGGCCAGATCATCTCAGATACTGTTGGTGTGCAGGAGCATTGGGCAGAATATTATGAGAAGATGTACCAGGTTGATGCACCAATAATTAACTTGGATGCAGGTAGTGTCAAGATTCCTTTGCCAGACTCTACCATCAGTGAGGATCCTCCCTCCCTGATTGAAGTCAAGGGGGTGATCTTCAAGCTGAAGAGTGTTAAAGCAGCAAGTATCTGTGGTATCCCAGCTGATATGTTAAAGGCCGGTGGAGAACCTATGGCGAGGGACTTGCATGCTGTCCTGTGTGCCATCTGGCAAACTGGTATCATTCTCCCTGACCTGTAAAATGTGGTGGGGACCTGTTGAGCTTCTTCCCTGTCAGTTCAGGAGTGAGGCAAGGCTGTATTCTTGCACCAACACTTTTCAACACTTGCATGGACTGGATACTGGGTAGAGCTACTGTCGAAAGTCACTATGGAACAATTCTGGGCAATATCAAAGTTACCAACCTTGACTTTGCTGACAATGTTGCTATTCTATCTGAGCCTCTAGTGGTGGCTCTTGATACATTTAGTAATGAAGCAAAGCCCCTGGGGCTAGAGGTCTCCTGGACCAAGACAAAGACCCAGAATTTTGAGGGCCTGCTAAGAGATCCTTGCTTGTGGTGAGGACATTAAAGTCACAGGGTGTTTTATTTGCTTTGGTAGTGCAGTTCATGACTCCAGGTAGGCCACAGATGGACTGGCCTGGCAGCAGGGGTCAGGAAATCTCTCAACAAGATTATCTGGAGATATCAGTACCTGTACATATCTTCCAAGGCCTTGATACTGCCAATTTTACTACAGTAGTGAAATCTGCACACTCTGCAATCTTGTCTTGATGCCTTTTGTAGCAGGTCCTTGCACCAGATCATGGGGTACAGTTGGCAGGACCATGTGTCCTATGGTTACACTGTGAGACTGAGACAGGACCTGAGTTGGCAATCCGCGATCACCAACTAAGGCTATACAGCCACCAGGCTCATATACTAAAAGATGATCCTGCCCACCAAGTTATCTCTGTTCAAGACATCCCTGGGTGGAGGAAGCCTATGGGATGGCCTAGGAAGTCGTGGCTTAGGCAGATCAATAAAACCCGTCGTGAAGAATGGAGATGGGTTGAGCTCCTGCCTGGTGGCTTGCCATGAGGACCTAATGACGAATGATGATGATGATACATGGAAATAGCATCTTCCCTGGAGCCAGAGCTCTTCCTGTCATGGCTCACAGACATTACATTCCACACTCATTTATCAATGGAAATAATGCAAAAGCCCTTTTCTAAATGCCAAATGAGTCTAATTACCATCCAAGAGTTTTCTGGACTCATGCCAAGTCTTTCTCATTACGCTGAAATACTCACAACGGCAAGTTTGCGTCACCCTAGTTCACAGCCTAATTTTCCCATGACAGCATGTTCATGTCACCTGCCCCTCAAGCCAAATTTTTTCATAATGTGATGGTCAAGTCATACTGGTCATAGGGGTTAAGGAAGACTAAGAAGGAATTAGCTGAATTGCAAGGTATTGTTCAAAAATATATGAATACTAATTCAATAAATATATAAATGAGCATTATGTAAAGTGGGAGGAGACACTAAGATACTCCCTTTAAATGAAAATGCTATTCAGTGTTAGATATGAGAAAATCAATGAAATTTCTTTTTCCCTACTGCACATGTCTTGACTAGTTTCTATGCTAAGATTATAATACTCACAAAAAAGGAAAAAAAAGGCAAGCACTACAAACAACATGTGTTATTTAAATTAGCCTTTAAAAGGAATATGGTAAATTTAAATTTTTGTCAAATACACCAACCTTATTCCATAGGAGGTCTGCACAAGATGCCGCAGTTCGTCTATTAAGAGATCTCGTTCTCCTGCAATTTGTAGTCGTCTCTTAAGGTCCATCTGATTGAACCAATTAATTTTCTCCATATCAAGTCGACAAGAATTAGTTGTGACCCTAGACAAGCAGAACTGAAATGGAACATGAAGCAGAACTAGTTCAAGTCGCTGTTTATTTTTCAAGATTTGCATATGAAAATAGGATAATTTTCAATATCTGTGGACATGGATGCATATGCAGATATTTTTATCTACGAAGAGTTTGAGCCACATATAATTTTACAATACTAAAAATGTATAACTGTATAAATGTATAAGGTAAGTAAAAATGTATAACTAATACAGTAAAACATGAGAGAATATATCAATCAAATCTTTCAATTATCTGTGTTACCGGGATACAAAAAGGGGACCCAAATTTTATGTACCCCAGGCTATAAATTTGTAATCTGTATTTCTACAA